GTCAGGGTTCACCAGAGAAACAGAACCAATAGGATATGTAAAGCTATATAAGAGATATAGATGTAGATATAGGAATAGGCACTGATTATGGAGGCTGAGAAGTTCCATGAACGTTAACAATACTTAAATACTGATATAAAGTCAATACATTTTCTTCTGTTACATGATAAGGGAATAAGAGAGGAAATAAGACAAAGATATCTGAGACAGATATACACACATATATATTCACACACAAATGTATTCATAGCAAAATAAGGAGGAAACGCTCAGGACAGTTTCAGTCCTTATTTCTGTAACTGGTCATGGGGTCATAGTTGATATTGGTAACTATCTTCATCTACTACCCATTCTAAGTCTTTTGCCTCCAGCGAGCACCTCAGCTGGTCATGGTTCTTACCTGGTGAAGTTACGCAAATCTTCATTCCTGAAGGGTCTGGGCCATTTGTAATCCTGCCTGGATCGGGTGGTTGTAGTTTTCCATTTACCTTCATCACAAGGCACGATAATACTGAGACACCCTAACAGATCTCCTGTATTCCAGACATATGTTTCCTTACCTCCACTGTGGAATAATAATTCAATCTCCCCTCAGTCATCATGATCCGTCACCCCAGCCAACACTGTAACTCTATTCTTTACCTGTTGTTTCAGAGGCATGAGGAACTCCAAGTGGCCAGGTGCCAGTATTAACCTCCGGTTCAATGGAATCATTGTTGAGTCTCCAGGTGGAAGCGTTGCCCCCTCTGGAACTAAAATCTCTAGGTCAGCAAAGCATAAAGTCACAGAAACAAAAAGCAAAAATGTGGCTAGTGGGTCACTAGGGTTAACAGTGAGTGGTACCACTACAATTTCTACCCCTTGATCACTAGACTCATGAATCCTGCCTATCATATAAATATGATTTGCACCATATATTGGACGCTGACTCAGAGCATATGCAGCTTTCTGTAGAACCTTACCCCAGCCCCGAAAAGTATTACCGCCTAGCTGGCTTTGTAACTGAGTCTTCAAAAGGTCTTTCCACCATTCTCTCAAGCCAGCTACTTCAGTACGGTGAGGAACATAGTAAGACAAGTGAATTCCATGAGCATGGGACCACTGTAGCACTTGTTTTGCTTTGATTTGAGTTCCTTGATCAGAAGCAGTGCTGTGTGGAAAATCATGACAGTGGACAAGGTATTCCTTAAATCCATGGATGGTGGTTTTGGCATAAGCATTGCATGCAGAGAAGGAAAATCAATATCTAGAGTAAGTGTCTATTCCAGTAAGAACAAAATACTGCCCCTTCCATGATGGAAGCAGTCCAATTGATCAGCCTGCACCAGGTAGCTGGCTGTTCACCCTGGGGAATGATGTCATATGAGGGCTCAGTGTTAGAATCAGCTGCTGGCAGATTGGGCACTCAACAGTGGCCACGGCCAGGCTGGTCTTGGTGAGAGGACGTCCGTGTTGCTGAGCCCATGCATAATGTCCATCCCTGCCACCATGGCCACTTGGCTCATGAACACATTGGGCAATGACAGGGGTCTGGGGAAAGAGGCTGACTGGTGTCCACAGAACATGACATCCTATCCTACTGATTGCCATAATCCTCTTCTGCCGACGTCACCCTTTGGTGTGCATTTACACAGGACACAAATATCTTCATGGTTTTGCCCACTCAGAGAGATCTATCAACATACTTCCTCCTCAAATCTCTGCATCACCAATTTTCCAGTCATGTTCCTTCCAAGCCCCTGGTCATCCAGTCAGACCACGGCCACAGCCCATGAACCAGGATATAGTTGCACACCTACTCTTTTCTCCTTCTAAGCAGAGTGAACAAACAGGTGCACTGCCCAAAGTCCTGCCCACTGGGAGGTTTGTTTTCACCACTCTTTTTAAGGGATATCCTGGGAAGAAGCTGTAGTGCAGCTGCCCACTTTGAGGTGGTGCCTGCATATTCTGTAGAACCATCTGTTAACCAGGCCTGAGTCTCCTCTTCCTCTGTCAGCTGGTCATAGGGAATGCCCCATGAGGTCATAGGCACAGGCTGGGAGAGAGGAGGCGGGGTAGCGGGAGTAGGGGCCACGGACATTTGGGCCACTTCTTCATGTAATTTACTTGTGCCTTCAGGGCTCAGGCCCAGTCCTGTACACACCACTTCCACTTGGTGATGGAGAGTTGCTGTGCATGCCTAACTCTAGAGCTTCATGGGTCAGTTAACACCCAGTTGATAATGGGATGCTCAGGTCACATGGTAAGTTGTTCAATGTCTACAAAGGCCCAGTAGCAGGCCAAGGGCTCTCTCTCAAAAGGAAGGTAGTGGGCTTCCCTGGTGGCGCAGTGGTTGAGAGTCTGCGTGCCGATGCAGGGGACGCGGGTTTGTGCCCCGGTCCGGGAAGATCCCACATGCCGCGGAGCGGCTGGGCCCGTGAGCCATGGCCGCTGAGCCCGCGCGTCCGGATCCTGTGCTCTGCAACGGGAGAGGCCACAGCAGTGAGAGGCCCGCGTACGGCAAAAAAAAAAAAAAAAAAAAAGAAGGAAGGAGTAAAGGAAGGAGGGGTATAGGTAGTGGCAAAGCCCAAAATAATGGTTGCGAGAGTAAGGGAAGCAACTTATGATACAGCTGTCTGTAAATGCAGTGTTTCATGCTAGAGCTGGGGCCGTGCAAACTAATGGAAAACACAGAGTCTAATATATTGGTGACCTTTAGACCTTATACCATTTTCTGAGCTTCATGTGTGCCCCATAGGAATTGACTCTTTTTTTCCTTTTTCTAAAATTTTACTTCTTTCTTCTTTTTTCTTTTTTAGCATATAAACCCAAGGTCCCTGTTCAGAGGGGAGAGGTTGGGAACATTGAGCTGTTGGCTTGTTTCACTCTCTAGAGGATTTGCTTGCAAGCAGCAGTGAATGGATCACTGTGAGAACACAATGATATTTTCATCTGTGAACTGAGCTATTCTATTCTGTTCCTGTTCCTTTTAGGGAGAGGAAAATTGCTCCTAGTTATTTTGGTCTCAAGTTTTTCAGAACTTCCATTACAAACCATAAAGCAAGTTTGACTTCTGGGAAATTCTATTCCAATTAATAATTTAAAATGTATTTATATGACGAGGTATGGATTCTCTAGAGGTTATCTTTTTTTTTTTTTTTTTGGTTTTTTTTTAACATCTTTATTGGGGTATAATTGCTTTACAATGGTGTGTTAGTTTCTGCTTTATAACAAAGTGAATCAGTCATACATAAACATATGTTCCTATATGTCTTCCTTGTTGCGTCTCCCTCCCTCCCACCCTCCCTATCCCACCCCTCCAGGCTGTCACAAAGTACCGAGCCAATATCCCTGTGCCATGCGGCTGCTTCCCACTAGCTATCTACCTTACTACGTTTGTTAGTGTGTATATGTCCATGACTCTCTCTCGCCCTGTCACAGTACACCCTTCCCCCTCCCCATATCTTTTTATAATCTATTTTAGAAAATAGATTTTGGACTTCCCTGGTGGCGCAGTGGTTAAGAATCCGCCTGCCAATGCAGGGGACACGGGTTTGACCCCTGGTCTGGGAAGATCCCACATGCCGCGGAGCAACTAAGCCCGTGCGCCACAACTACTGAAGCCTGCGCGCCTGGAGCCCATGCTCCACAACAAGAGAAGCCACCGCAATGAGAAGCCTGCGCACCGCAAGGAAGAGTAGCCCCCGCTCGCCACAACTGGAGAAAGCCCGCACGCAGCAACGAAGACCCAACGCAGCCTAAATAAATAAATAAATAAATAAATTTTTAAAAAGTGGGAAAGAAACAGAGGTTTGTAAGGAGAAAAGTGAATGTGAAAAGTAAATGTAATGTATAGCTGAATCACTTTGTTATACAGCAGAAACTAACACACCGTTGCAAAGCAATTATACTCCAATAAAGATGTTAAAAAAAAGATGACAAAAGTAAATATAAAATGATTACTAGCAGTAATAATGTTTTATAACCCTTTTCTAAACCAATGGCTTTCACATCTTTTTCTTACTGCAACCAAGAGTATATGCATACTTAGACATATTTGTGTATGTCTGTATATATAGAGAAATAACACTGTTTCATGGGACACTACACATTATACACTAAAGATTTTTCTTTTTTATTCTTTCATTTTACAAAGTGCTGGTCATGTGTCACTAAACTGATATCATGACCTATTAAATGAGTGGCAACCTGCAGTTTAAAAAAATACTACTCTCATGGGCAATATTAGCAGTTTCTTCATTAATCTTTAGTCCAGAAAATAACCTAAAAGCAATTTTATTTTCTAATACCAGACTTCTTGTGTTCAAAGGATCTACCCTTGAGACGTTCCTTGGGAGTGTCTCCTTCATTTTCACCTTGAAGTTATGGATGGAGGTCAACGAAGATATTACAGTGGAAGGTCAGGGTCATAGTGTTCCTTCATGGCTTCTGACATCGGCCCTAGATTCTGAACATCTCCTCTCCCCTGCCCCAGAAATACTTCTTAAGGTGAAGTCTTTATAAGAGCTGGCAGGAAATTTATCCCACTTGACTCAGGTGACACCTGCAGAGACTCTCATTGGACTAGAAATGGAAAGTGATCAAAAAATAGGGACAGGTTAAATACCTAAGGCATTTCATAAAATAAAATACGACACAGCTTTGAAAAAAGAACGTCACACTGTGTGTAACGAACCAATATTCAAGGTATAGTTTTAGGTTAAAAAGAGTAAGTTAAGCACACTGTGTGTAGTAGACTTCCATGTGTTTTTAAAAGGGGGATATACGTGCTTATATGTGCATAGAATATTTCTGGAAATTTCCACAAGATATTAGTAATGGGAATTGCCTCTAAGGAAGAGAAATAGAAGACTGGGAATCTGGGATGATAGAGATTTAATATTTTTGCCTACCTTTTCATAGTGTTTGAAATTTTTATTTTGTGTATATATACATATTACTTTTTCAATTAAAAAAATAACTTATTTTAGGGAATTCCCTGGCAGTCTAGTGGTTAGGACTCAGTGCTTTCACTGCCAGGGTCATGGAACTAAGATCCCACATGCTGCACAGCATGGACCAAAAAAAAAAAAAAAAAACTAATTAAAAAAAATATGTTGGAGGAAGTAAGTACTCACAAACTCATTAAGATGAAGGGAGTTTCCCTTGTGAACAGTCCTAGAAATAGATGTTTATTATAGCACCAAAATTCATTATCTCTTTCATTTACATATATTATATAATTTACAAAGAGTTTCATATCCATTGCCTGACTTAGAGCTCATAACAACCTTTTGAAATAGGTAGGACAGTTACTAGAAGCCACAATTTACAAATTGGAAAAAGACAAAAGGGCTAAAGGAGTTAAAACTCTAGAGCACAGTTTAAGGAAAGAAGTTTGGAGTCATGTACATGATTATGATATAGTAGAAACTTGAAATTTTACAGTATTAGGAGTTACCAAGTAGTTTATAAATGGCAGTATTTTGAAAGCCTTCAGCAATATTACTTGCAATATTGATCTCTTAACTAAGAAACTCATGCATAAAGGAGGAAGGAGGCAGGAAAAAAAAAAGCTACTGAAACTCTGTGTAAAATATGCCCTCTAATAGAGCATAAAATTTTCAACCAGTCAGCTAATGACTGGCTGAAAATTAACATTAAAGAAGTTGCATTCAACACTTCGCCGTATAGAATTTTACCTTTGAATTAGAACAAATCTAAAATAATTACCTAAGTGGAAGAGAGATATCACAAATCATCACTCACTAAATCTTGAATAATACCCTAAAGGCTTATGCTTATGGTCATTATATCTCCCAGAGTCCCAGATAAGCCAAATTTACACCTCCAGTCCCCGGGTAATTATTCATAGCAGCCCTTTCATTCTCAAGGGTATCCTAGTTTGGGGATAAATGATTATCCACCTTATTAAATATCACGCTCTAGTTTCATACACCTTTAAGATCCTCATGTTCTAGGGTTAGGGCTTCATCTCAGAACTAAGGCGTACCCTCATTCGTGCAAAATCTGAAGAACCCACGTTCAGATTTTAGCAGCATGTATGACTCTCAGATAAAAAAGAGTAGTTTCCAAAGCAGCTGTGGGCTTTACTAAAGAGATTAAAATAAGAAGGAAGTCTCAGAGTCTGATTTGGAATTTTTGGTTTGTAGGGGTTTAAAGGCAAATGTGAACCAAGTTTGGCTTGGTGAGACTGAGGTGGAAGACAAATAACTGATTCCACTTAGCAGACGTCTGAACAGAGAGTTCAAAAAGTGCATCCCCTCCAGGAGCACTTCATTCATGAGTTTATTTATTAATAGTTGGAGCACGTTCTAAGCACTGCCTCAGTTTTGTCAGTAGTTTTGGGTACGTTATGCTCCATTTCCAGCACTTTGCAGGCATGTGATACTATACGTGAGGTTTTGTTTAAACCAGCCTCTGAATTCTTTCCTGCTTAGCACTCTTTAGAATTTCCATAATTTGTAATTACTCTATTCACTAATTACAAAGATTATTCCCATGGTCCAGGTAGGTTAAATCGTTGCTGTGATTTTGTTTTTCATGTTGCAAGTGTATTTCTTCCTTAGAACAAGCAGATGAATTGTAGCCAAGCTGGAGATCATGGTAACAGCATCTTTTACTCAGAGGTAAGCAGACCATCTATCCAGAATATATAATTACTGAAAGATTAAGGCATTAAGATGTGTTTACTTGCTACATTCTCTAAAGCACTTGGCATTTAAATTGAAGTTATTTAGTATGTGATTACTTGAGGTTTCTGTGTAAAATACTAAAGAATATTTTAATCATTCTTCTATGTTTACATTTACACTTTTAACAAAATCTTTTCTGAATATATTTAACACGCGGGTACACAGATTCTCTCTCTGAGGGTGTTCAGACGTGGTTCTGAATCTGACAATTTGACTATTTTCTTGTTGTTTCTGTTGTTGTTTACATATGTCTTCTCTTTTATTTCTCCCCTTTGTTTACCTTCTTAGAAATCTTTATTTCCTATCAATTACTCACCAGATTGTTCACAAAAGGAATCTGGTGGAGTTTTCTTTAGTTCTAATCGTCACTGGTTGAGTGATTACTGTCACTGCCTTTACTGTCACTATCACTGTCACCACCACCTCCATTGTTGTCGCCCTTACCAGACTTGCTCTTGCTGTCACTCTCATCACCACTGTCAGATGCACTGTCACTGCTGTCACTATCACTGCTGTTGCTGTCACTGCTGTTGCTGTCACTCCTGTCACTATCACTGCTGTCACTGTCGCTGCTGTCACTATCACTGCTGTCACTGTCACTACTGTCACTGCTATCACTACTATCTGATTTGCTGTCACTGCTGTCACTACTGTCTGATTTGCTGTCACTACTGTCACTGCTGTCACTACTGTTGCTGCTGTCTGACTTGCTGTCACTGCTGTTACTACTGTCACTGTCTGATTTACTGTCACTTTCACTGCTGTCACTACTGTCACTGCTGTCTGATTTGCTGTCACCACTGTCACTGCTGTCACTACTGTCACTGCTGTCACTGCTTTCACTACTGTCACTGCTGTCTGATTTGCTGTCACTACTGTTGCTACTGTCACTGCTGTCAGACTTGCTGCTACTACTACTGTCACTGCTGTCACTGCTGTCACTGCTTTCACTACTGTTGCTGCTGTCACTGCTGTCACTGCTKTCACTACTGTTGCTGCTGTCACTACTGTCACTGCTGTCACTGCTATCACTACTGTTGCTGCTGTCACTGCTGTCACTACTGTCACTGCTGTCACTACTGTCACTACTGTCACTGCTGTCACTGCTGTCACTGCTTTCACTACTGTTGATGCTATTGCTGCTGTCACTGCTGTCTGATTTGCTGTCACTACTGTTGCTACTGTCACTGCTATCACTATTGTCGCTGCTGTCACTGCTGTCAGACTTGCTGCCACTACTACTGTCACTACTGTCACTGCTGTCACTGCTTTCACTACTGTTGCTGCTGTCACTGCTGTCACTACTGTCACTACTGTCACTGCTGTCACTGCTGTCACTACTGTCGCTGCTGTCACTGCTATCTGAGTTATCTTTGGTGCTGCCTGATTTTCCATTCTTATCACTCCCCATGTCACCATTGCCATCACCACCACTATCATTAGCATCTGATGTGTTATCACTATCACCTTCTTCTCCTCCTTTTGAGTCACTGTCATTGCCATTATCACTTGATTCATCAGAGTTATAAGAAGCATCTCCTCGGCTACTGTGGTTGTTGTCACCTTCAGAATTGGTATCATCACTGCCATTAGACTCATCACTGCTGTTGGGATCATCTCCTTGCACGGATTCATCACCAAACTCATAACTGTCATAGCCATCACTGTTACTGTCACTACGTGTTTTGCTGGGTCCAAACTTATCTTGAGGTTCTAATTTCTGGCCAGGTCCCTGCATGACGTCAACCTCTTCTTGTGCCTTGACATTTCCTTTGCCCACAATCATTCCATGTTGGCCTTTACTCTCTTTATCTTCATTCATTTTCCCAGCTTCTTTGGTAATATTGTTTCTGTTGCCACTGCTGGGACATTCCATTTCTATTCCCTATGGAAAGATGGAGAAAAGAATGATTAATTAGTGAACGTTGTTCTGCAAAATTGCATTGGTTTGAGGAAGACTGACTGGGGAAAGTGGCCATAGAACAGGAGTTCAGCTTCCAGTACTTCAGAAACATCTGTCTGTGAAAACGTGCTTTATTCAGTACTTGAAAGTACTCTGGTGTTTAGATTATAGACCATCCCATTTGTGCCTTTACCCAGTAAGAGCTTTCATAAACAGTTACGTGCTGCATTAATTATTTAGCATAAGACTTTTGAAGAATTATAACCAAATTTTCAGAGATTTCTGCTTTTTAAAATTGTTCTATAGCAAAGTCTAGTATGGACTCTAGCTTTCCCATCAAATATTCAAGTAATTTAGATGCAAAAATACATGACTATTTGTCATGATTTATTTTCATGCTACCATCATGGAAGTAAGGGGAGAATTTAAACTGCCCTTGAAAGAAACCAGCTTCACAAACTAACCTTAACTTGGTTCTTCCCAATAGCAGGTGGCTCTAATTTTTCAGTGATTCCATTTTCCACAGCTTTGCTTTCTCTGTGATTGTGTTTTTGAGTGTCCTCTATTTTTTGGCTACCATCGTCTCCTGAAATACCGTCAAAATCGTCCTCACTCTTGGAGGTGTTATTTCCATCAGTGGCGTGGGTGTCTTCTTTGTCCGCAGGGTCATCAGCTTCACCACTAAGTGAACTTTGACCTAAGCTATTGTCATCGTCACCTTCTGTTTCATGAGGTTGACCCTCTTGGCCCTTGCTGTTATCAGGGCCTTTTTCTCCATTCCCTGTCTCTTCACCTTCATCATCACCAGAGCCCTTGTCTTCATTTTCATCTGCTCCATTCCCACTAGGACTTCCATCAGAATTGTCCAAGGCGACATCTTCTCTATTGCTATCTCCACTTTCCCCTGGTGTTACCCCTGTCTCCTCATTCCCGTTGCTCTCGCCTTCTCTCTGAGGTGTTTCTTCACTTGTATCACCCCCATTTCTACAGAAATTCCCACTTATTTCATCCTTGTGACCTGTGCCATTATTGCTTCCAGCTCCTTGATGTCCATCTTCTTGGACAACAGTGGCATCTTCACTCTGACTTGCATTTCCAACACCCCCATTTTGGGAATTGTTCCCAGTAATCCCATTAATATTGCTCCCATTTGCTGTTCTAGCACTGTCGATGATGCTTACTTGTCCCCTGACACCATTTGCTGTGGTGCTGTCTTCTTGATGGAGCCCATCATGACCATATGTTTCTGGTTTTCCTGTGCCCCCATTCAGATCCTCAGTATTCCCCTCTTCATTTGCTAACATGGAACGTGCAGAAGAACTTTTCTCTCCCACTTCTGCCCCCTCAGAACCATTTCTCTCTCCTTTGTACTCATCTTTGGTGTACTGTTGCCTTCCTCTTTCATTTTCATGCAGGAGGACACCACTTTCTTTGGTGGTATCATTGGCATTTAACTCATCCTGGAAAAGAGAAACAATGCAAAATAAATTGTGGATACCATCTTAAAGTAGAGCAAACTGAAAAGATAAGCATCAATTTTTTGGAAGTTAGTGGAATCTAAAAACAACTCAGAAACACATTTCACATCCTATACCTGTATCGGCACTTTCAATTCTGCTAGAAGATTTAAATTCACAGATTTGTCAACAGCATGTCTCTCCAATGGCTTGATTTGAGGAACCTACCAAAGTGAAAATACTGGAAATTGAAAACATTCTTATTTTGTGCACATGTGTGCCCACACATGCACACACACACACACACACACACACACATATCTGTATATTCCAAATTTAGCTTTCTGAGTGAAACATCAGTTTTCCCTTTGTTGAAAAAACACATGATTTTTTTCCTATTTTTCTTTCTTGAAATCTTCCTAAACAATACAGGCTTTGTTGATATTAGAATGAAACTCATAGGGTGTTAGCAAAGATGGACAGTCTCCATGACTTCTAAGCATTAAATGTAAATGAATCTGAGTGAACTTTAAAAGAAATAATCCTTCCAACAAGACAGGAGTTTCAGTTAGAAGAACGGGAGCATGAATTGGAGTGCCTATTTGGTTTTGTTGAGACCCCAAATATATCTTGTAAAGTCTTTCATGTAAATCTAAAAGTTTAGACTCAGCTGATCGACAAGGTCTCAAGAAAAAAAAAGTATATATACATAAATGTTAGCTTAAAAGAGATAACAAAGTAAGAAGGATTTTTTTGAGGAAGGCATACTTACTGGAATGGCCCATGCTACTGTCCAAATGCAAAAATATATAATTATCTTCATTTCCTTTAGAAATATTAATCAGGCTGTTTTTGAAGAAAAAAGAACAGCACAAAATTACTTATAAAGCAAAATATGATAGCCATATAATGTATTATTTTGGTCTGTAAGCATTTGCGTTTTTCCTAGGCAAGGAGTATAGACGCAACATCAGAAGAAGCTGTCAAGACTCAGTGCTCCAGAGCACACCTGGAGCCACAGTGACGTACAATGGCGTCATCCAGCTCAGCACTGATGGCGCTACCTAGACTTTTTCTGCCTTTGCCAACAAAGGGGTATAGCCAGGCAGTTACAAAAACCATAACTATAACTTTCTCCTTCTGTTGTTCTTGATGGCAATAATGTGTCTTCTGAATAGTTTTAATCAAGGATTAACTAATTCTGCTAAGATTGTGCTTAAAAGATTGTGTTTATCATCCCCACCCCAAAGCCACACTACTGGGCTGGCTAGACTGTACAGAAAAGAAGTTACTAGCATGAAGATGAAAGAACATGGAGTTTGGATTCAGAGACCTGGGTTCCAATTCTATCTTTGCTCCCTGATGTGTGAGCTTGAAGAATTTAAGTAGCTTTCTTAAGCATTTGATTCCTCTGTCTGGGATAAAAGAATACCTGCACTTCAGGATTATCCCAATTATCTTAGCAGAAGAATCTTCTCTGAGAAACATTCTCTGACTCCATGTCAAAGGGCGTTTGGTGTCTCTCTCCTCTTTACACCCAGGAGCTTCTGCACACCTCGCTAGTAGCGCTGCACAGTTTTCACTGTTTTAAAGTAACCTGGGGGCTACTTATATGTTCCCCCACCCTACTGAGAGCTCCTGAGGTCCAGGAGAGTGTCTTGGTGATCACTGTATTCCAAACCACAGCACAGAAAAAGCTATTTTGTGAATGTTGCTGATGAATATATACTTATTACTCTAAGCAACATGTAGCACTGTTCCGGGTATTTAACAGTCTCAATAAATGATAGCGATTATTATGTGGGACTTCTAAAAACATGATCCTTCATTCCTGTTAGAATCCACATTCAGAAATGATCTAATGTACATTTTTGATACATTGGGATAGACATTGAGTTCATGAGAATCAAAATTTTAAACCGCTGTTTACTGCAAATTGGATTTCTTGATATAATGATGCTATTACTATAGAAAGGAAGGAGGAATTTTACTTCTATTTCATGCACTCCCACTGGATTTATAGATTATAATATTGTATGTCATAAGATAGCCTTGCTTGAATTTAATGTTGATAGTGGAAGCATAATAAAACCGCAGTGAATATCGACTGTCCTCGAAGTATTGGCATTTTCACAGGAGAGAGGACCCAGTTCCAGAGCTATTGAGAGGGGAAAAAATGTGCTTACTCTTATAGCTGTTCAACAGAAAGCCAAGAATAGCTAGACCTCTTTCAAAAATGCTATAGATTAAAAACGAGGCTGATGTGACCTCAGGACACTATAATGCAGAGCTCTGGGGCATAGATGTGGAAGGGCAGCTGTTTAGTAAGCAGAAACCTCTGCTTTGTACTTTACTGCTTTGTACAAACTGTACTTTGCAGTCCCAAACCTAATTATTACATAGACTCTGCAGAAGACCAGTCTACACTGTGATTTGGAGGAAACATGGTATCCTGGAAAGGAACTTATAGTGAAGGACAGAGTTATGTGCATCCCATTTCTGAACTGCAATCCAGCAATCTGACCACTTTAGCTCTCTTTCAAATCTACTGCAGAACAATGCACGACGCTACTTGCCACTGTGTCCACAGGTAGGTAAATGGCTTGAAAGACTACTATAGAAATGGCCTCCGTTTTGTCAGTCTGAAAGCAGAGGCTTCAGAATTGTGTGAACTCCCTTCAGATTATTTTATGTATTATCACAAACAAAATGAGATTTTACTTAATTTGAACAAGTTAATAAAACCTTGAAAAGCAAAGCTTAAATAAAGCCCTGTTTCAAAGCCCAAGGTAGTTATTTATATCTGGTTATCTAATTTGTTATCAAAACTAATAAAAGCAACCAGATAATTACAAGGTTTCTACCTCAGTTTACCAATTTTTTAGTAACATGTCTTTTATTTGCCAAGCCTATTATTATAGCATGAAACAGAAAAAGTGTGTGAAAGAAGTCAGATTCTCCAGATATCCTAAGTAGAAGTATTTTAATCTAGTTTTAAAACCCTAATGTCAATTGGTAAAATAATAATAATAACAATTTATTATTATTTTAGGCCAAAGGTTGATTTTTCAGGGACCAAAAAATTAAATGTAAACTGATATTCATCCAACAAACATTTGAAGGCCTAATGTGGGCCATATACTGAACCCTGGGAACAGATATGAGTCCTATCCTCATAGAGTTTATTACTGACTAGATTAGCCAAACTTTGAAATAAATGTAACATAATGTGTTAAATCAAATTCCTAAATCCATGTTCATTTCTTAATACAGTCAGTGTTTAAATGTTATTTGAAAGAGATGGTTTTTCTGCATAAAAATAACAGTAATGGAGCTTTAGTGAATTATGCATAAAATATTCTAATCACTCATTCCGTTGTTAATATTTTAGATATAAAATATGTGCTTCATCGTACATATACTTTTCCTATTAGCAACTTATATTTTAACATAATGGCTGTGGAAAACAAATCTGATTCTTCAGTGATGCAATATTTTGCTAGGTGGAATTAGCACCACTTACCACATAATTTTCCATTATCTTTTAAAACATAATTTTAATTTGACAAGTCAAAAGGGAAGGAAAATGTCTAATCATAAGGGTTATTCATTTTTTTAAATCGAGTTGGCTTCTCTGAAATTCGAATTTCTTTCCAAAGAAATCAGTTGGGTCCATCTTACCTTAAAAGCCTTCAAAGGGACTTTGAAAATCCAGGATTTCTTATCTTTCTCTTTGAGGACTGAGTGGCACACTGTCCTGGGCTTTTGCATGACAATTTTGTACCTGCCGAAATTTAAAGTCAGTTTGATAATTTTCTCAACCAATCACTGTTTAGGATCCTTGATACGGGGTTATAAAGTGTCAGTGTGTCTGTGAAGCACATAATAAGTTACCCCACTTCCTTCACTTGCTGGTATGTATTTGCTCACTGAACCATTCGATTCCAAAGGGACTAGACTTACTTTCACTTAATTAAATAGCTCCTGGGAGGCTGTTTTGCATCTTAAATATAGACAATCAGTGTAACATATCTGAAAAGAGCCACTTAAACTCTGTCACCCTGACATTTCTTGTCTTACTAAGGTTGGCAATCTAAGAAAACTCTAGGTTTCTTTAGTGAATATACTGCCTATTTAAGACCCCTATCATTCCTGAGGTAGGTATTAAAGTTTCTGTGCTATAATTCAAGAAACCGTCCACATGCAACAGCCTGGACCTTGCCTGAGGGGTCTTTAACAGTCTATAAATAGTAACTCCCAAGAAATCTCTCTGACCTAAATAAACAGTGGTGTGAAGCTTAAAAATGTATCAATTTAGTATCCAAACTAAATTTTAAAAATAGATATTCAAAATACTAAAACTTATTGTAAGGTAGCTAGATGTGCAAAAGTGCATACCTACAGTCGATCTAGCTCTCAGTTACCTCTGTTATTTGTGCTAGCCGTGGAGGACGACCTAGAAAGCCAGACCATAAGTCTAGCACAAGTTCTGGCACCTGAACTCACCATTCACTTGAACCCCAGACGTATGCTGTAATGCGGGTAACCCCTAAACCAGTTCTCCAATCTAAGAATTGAAAACCTTGACAGTCTAAGTCTCTCCATGTACTTGTTCAAAATATTCCGATTTTTTAAAATGTCATAATATCAAAGGATGTGAACCAAGTAACTTGCTACTACCCAACAGTGATAACTCCAGGATTTATATATAGAACTATTACAGGGAAAGTAGTAAGGTTGAAAGGGAGTGGAAGGAATGGAAAGAGATTTGCCTTGAAGCTGTTTTCATAGCAAGCACTTTGTTCTTATCTAAACAGCATGTTTACGTGGGTGGCTTAAAGGACCTAATCAAATTTTAAGGAGTCTTAAGTCACTTCTGGGAGCAACACAACAGATACTAGTGGAGGTCAGGGAACTGAATCTGCCTTCCTTTTCCGTTAACCTGAATTAACATGAGAATTCTGATCTTTTGTTAACTTTCCCAGGTTTCAGCAAAGGATTGTAGCATCATACCCTCAGCTTTTTCTAGATCATTCTCTCCTGATGGCAAATTTCTTAATTTTAACATCTTTTGCCATTTGGATAGGCAGAGACCTTTCAATACCATCAGGTCCTGGTTTCTTTCTCTTTAACAGTTTTTCTCTCAATGTATTTTCTCTCCTCTTGCATTTTGTTTATTTTTATTTATTTATTTATTTATTTATTTGCGGTACGCGGGCCTCTCACTGTTGTGGCCTCTCCCGTTGTGGAGCACAGGCTCCGGACGCGCAGGCTCAGCGGCCATGGCTCACGCGCCCAGCCGCTCCGCGGCATGTGGGATCTTCCCGGACCGGGACACGAACCTGTGTCCCCTGCATCGGCAGGCGGACTCTCAACCACTGCGCCACCAGGGAAGCCCCTCCTCTTGCATTTTGTTATAAGTAGCAAGAAGAAGCCAGGCAGAAGCTTCAACACTTTGTTCAAAAATCTCCTTAGCTATATATCCAAGTTCCGTGCTTACAAATTCTGCTTTCCACATAACTGAAGGCCAAAATTCTGCCAAGCTTTCTGTCACGAGGATAACAAGAATCCTCTTCCTCCATATTCCAGTAATGTCTTTGCTCACTTCCTTCTGAGACCTCGCCAGCAGTGTCTTTAACATCTATATTTCTACTAACAGTTTTCCAGCCTCTACCCATTGTCTGATTCCAATGCTACACCCACATTTTAAGAATTTCTTATGGCAGCACCCCACTTCCATGTACCAAAATCTATATTAGTTTTCTCTTGCTGCCTAACAAGTCACCAAGTGTACTTCTGCTTTTGGAAGGCTTATTTGGCTCATTTAGCCTCACCTAAATAATCTCTTTATCTTAAAGTCAACTGATTAGTACACTTAATTACATTGGCCAAATCCTTTTTGCCATATTAACAGGACTTCATCGTGAGGCAGGAGATAGATGGGCCCCAGCCTGAACAGTTTCCCCACTGTGGACAGAAACTCCATAATAGCAGAAACTTCATAAAAGCAGGATGATGGAGGAGGCTGGGCCCTGCCCAGATAGAAGATAAGAGACCACATATTCCTCATTCTCGAAATCAGGAGACCTCCCCGACTACACATGAGCAGAAAGGCTCCTTGGAGGTCAAAAGCGGAGTGATGCCAACTGATGCCAACTGATACTCATTACCCATAGGCCTCTTTGGTAGAATCCATCTTGGCTAAGAGCTGCATACGCACACATGGGAAAATCCTGAGCTATACCAAATACAGACTTTGAACCAGGCAAATCAAAATGATTGGCCAAAGGAAACCCAGAAGAAATGCCCCATGTAAGTGATCCAAACTGCCATGAGGGCACGACTCTCTCTCTGAGCCCACCCATTTGTGTCTATCCCCACGTACTGTACTTCTTTTTTCCCTAATAAATACTCTACTTGTTTCACTACTTTCCATCTTTGTAGGAATTCTTTTTCTGCAAAGCCGTAGGGCCAGGGCCTTGTCACTGACCACTGTTCTAGTGGCTAGGATTCGGTGCTCTCACCGCCGCGACCTGACCTCAATCTCTGGCTGGGATCTGAAACCCTGCTTCAAGCCGCTGTAGGCCAAGGCCACCAGAGATCAATCATGGAAATGATACTTCATCATAGTTACTCGTTCTCTCCACATTCAAAGGAGAGAGGATTGTACAAAAGGGAGGGTCATTGGGGATCGTCTTAAAATTCTGCCTACCACACATGTTAAGCTACAGTGAAAGAAAATAGATCAATATCTTCATGCCTTGGGGCTGTAGAAAGAAGGGATTTTTAAAGGGGGCATGAGGAAATTTTCATGGATACTTCTGTCTTACTTGTGGTGATTGTTTCATGGGTGTGTACATATGTCAAAACATCAAATTGCACCCTTTATATATGTACACGTTATTGTGTGTCAATGACACCTCAATGAAGCTGTTAGGGGGAAAAAAAGTAACTAACCCATTTCAAATTCTGTAAATTGAGAAGTGAAAACTGCGGTTTTAATAAGGTCTACCTAAAGGGAAACAAAAACTTCAATTTATTGTGGAAACCAAACAATTAACTAAAATTTAAGATCTGGGCTCAGAGATCTACATCAATTTAGTAACTAAAAAAGCTATCTATAAACCCTTAATTAGGATTGTTATTCTGTTCTTAAAGAAAGCGTTTGGAATGGAACTCTTAATCTAGAGGCTACTCTATTACCATGACTTTGAACTATCTGTCTTCCTGTTTCCTTAAATTTGGATAAACAGTAGCTGAGCCAAACGTCAAAAGTAAGGCAAGAATAGCAATAGCAGCGGAGACACAGGGAGAATGTTCCAACTCAGATTATTTTAAGTTGACTCAAACTAGTTCACAGCAGAAGCCACTTGAGTAGGTGTTCTCTGTGTGACCAGATGTATAACATCCCTACTGGACATCTTTGACTGATGGAAGTTGAAATGGCAAAAAACTTCCACTGCCCGATATTGAATTAATGTCAGTGCAATTTAAAAAAACAGACACTGTATTAAGTTTTTTTTAAAACAACCATAGTCTTTTAAAAAGTGGTAACCATTTCTTCCAGATTCCGTATTCCATTTCCACCAAGGCTCTAGTTGGCATAATGTTGTGTGAGATAGCTTGATTAAAGAAGACGTTATAACTGAACCTCAAGTAATAGACATGTCTGTTGGCCTGTCTTACCTTCCAATGTCTTATTATGACTGAGACAACAACTGCTAGAACACATAATCCTTTCTTCTTATGAAAAAAAAAGAAACTTCAAGTTTTCCTCTTTCATGGGCACATATTTTATTTTCTCCAGACCTGTGTCTCAGATATTTAGAGCTAGTAGAGAGTAATGATATAGATTTGAAGTCAGATGTATCTGGGTCAAACCCCTGCCTTTTCCTATGTGACCTTGGAAAAGTAACCTAATCTTTCTAAGATTCAGTTTTTTCATCTGTAAAATTATGTTATGATAACAGTTAACATTTATATAACATTTATATATTAGCATTTATAACAAGATACACCCTGTACACAGCAATCTAAGCCCATTATCTCATGTAGTCCTTAAATGATCACACAAGATAACTCTGTTATCTCCATCATAGGGATGAAGAAAGTGGGTCCTAAGGTGGCACAATCAATGAGTGACAGAACCCAGATTTGAACCCCATGATTCTGATCTCAGAACCTGGCTCTTAGCCACTGCACTATATTAATTGCCTCCTTCATAATGACACAGTGAAGGTAATGTATGCAAAACCACTCCGTACCCAGCACACACATGACTCCTAATAGGGGGAGCTATTATGAATTTCATGGTTCTTTGCCAAGTTTGAGTCCTTTCCTTGTCACTGCCCAAACTTTCCTAAGATTATTGGTAAAGTGATGTCTTTTAAATTAAAAATAAATTAATTAAATAAAATTTAAAACTTTAACAGTTATTTTATGAACTATTATAAGTAAATTATTAATTTTTCTTTTCCTGAGTGCTGAACCTCTTAACAGGCATGCCTGGTTCCAGTCTCTGGGCCCTACGCCTGAATCTATCACCCAGATGCTGGCATAATCTTTCTAAAATGCAAATCTAATCATGTTACTACTCGACTTAAACTTCTCAGTGTCTCTTTAATGTGGCATGGGACTTCTGAAACCATCCAGCTTCAACTTGGGCCCCACCCCTTTGAGAACCCTCGAGACCCTGGAAGAAGAGGAACAGGGCCAGAGATGCGGTTGGGGTCGGTTGCGTGTCCTCCTGAATGCACAGGACGTGTCCTGTATTTAAATGACCTTTCCTGCTTCCTGTATTGACTTGGTCGGGTCTACCTAAGTGTCCTATATTCAGCTCTTCTCAATACTTATGAAAAGTTGGTGCTATTTTTCCACCACAGTAACTGGAGCTTAAGTCTCTTAGATGGCAACTCCAGCCCCAAATTATTCCTCCACACATCTGTACAATGCGAGTTGCCCTCTCCTGCAGGTCTGGCTGAGGGAAAACCAGAAGGAGGGACTTAGAATTAAAATACATATTTTTCATACATAAGGAAAGAAAAGACTGTTCTTTGGCTAAAGTCCCAAGTCATAAAGAGGGAACCACCATTAATTAGGGATAGATCAGTGCTCATGTTCTGAAAAGTCACCCAATCAGCAAGAGCCTCACTCCAGTAACTGCTTCTGAGAGTTAGCAAATCAATGACATCCAAGCTTCCGAAAGTCTGCCAATCAGGGACAACCCCATGTTTCAGGACAACAGCCAATCAGTAAGTGCCTCATTCCAGTGGCCACACTAGCACATCTGGACTTTCTGAAAGTCCACCGATCCCTGAAAGCCAGGCTTCCCAAAACATTAACTCAGTAATACTGTGCCCTACGAGTACAGCTCTTCCTTGTGCAAAGGGGAAGTTCATCTTTTTTACATCAGTTCTTGAGTAGTTCACAAGTTTGCAACTCTTTCAACAGTTCAAACCCTGCTTACAGCTAGTTATGAGTTCTTACTTGTGAATGACAAACACACCATCACGACAGTGATGTTATCAAATTCAATTTTCATTCCTTGCTGTGTGGCCTTTAATTTGTGTATATTTGAATCCCAAAATGCCAAAACATAATATAAATTTTGTAATAAATTTTCTGATCAGTGAACATTGATTAAATGAGGAAAAAGTCCTTTGGAAATTCTCTGTACAATTCCCAATTGTTGATTTAATGTTTTAAAAATTGTAGAAAGACAGATATAAATCAGTATAAAATAGTAACTAAATAGAAGAAATGTAATTTCTTCAACTACTGCCAAAGATGTGATAAAATAATAAATTTTTATGGGACATTCAGATGAAGAAGATAAAATAATCACAGCAGAAGCTGTAATGGCTTTCCACACTGGATATCATCTGCCTTCATCTCAAATAACTGTTGGAATGTGCTGCTACCAGAAGTATTTTCTGATCCCAAAATTACAAATAAATTATCAGGGTGAAATCTATTACAACAATAAAAATGTAACAGTTCCACTTATTGTTACAGAGCTTATGGAAAATCTAATGCCTTATCTTTTTACAACATAGCTATAGATGCAAATAGCCATAATGCAGAAAACATGTTCCCTTTGTTTGTACAATTACTTTTCTCATGAAAAAGTGTTACTTATAAGGCTATTGTGAGTAAAATCTCTTCCAGATGAGACTTCAGAAAGGTTCTATTATTGTGTTAGGAGTTAATGAGAAAACTGTACTGCTTTTGGTGGCAAAACCATGAATACAAATTCTGCTAGATATTTGCATGAAAGTGCAGACAATGTTTAGTCAAAGTTGAAGCAAAACATGAATGTAAGGTGTTGGCTATCCTGCCATATTCTGCAAATGCTGTTCAAACGTCATCTAATGTCCTTTCTACTGACATTGAAGTCATTATGAAATTTTTGTCCTACTTCAGCATTTATATTGTTCAAACTGAGCAATTAAAAGATTTTTGTGAGAACTGCCAGAAGGAGAAATTAAGAAAACAATCCCACTTATAATTGCATCAGAAAGAATAAAATATCTAGGAATAAATTTAACCAAGAAGGGGAAAGACCTTTACACTGAAAACTATAAGACATTAACAGAAGAAATTGAAGAAGACACAAATAAATGGAAAAATATTTTGTGCTCATGGATTGGAAGAATTAATATTGTTAAAATGTCCATCCTGCCCAAAGCAATCTACAGATTCCATGCAATCCCCATAAAAATTCTAATAGCATTTTCCACAGAAACAGAAAAAACAATCCTAAAATTTCTATGGAACAGCAAAAGATCCCAAATAACCAAAGCAATCTTGAAAAACAACAAAGCTAGAGACATCACACTTTCTGACTGCAATCTATAAAACAAAGCTACTGTAATCAAAACAACTTGGTATTGGCATCAAAACAGACACATAGATCAATGGTACAGAGAGAGAGGCCAGAAATAAACCCATGCACATAAGGTCAAATAACTTACAACAAAGGAACCAAAAATAAACAGTAGGGAAAGGACAGTATCTCAATAAAAAGTGTCAGGAAAATGGATAGCCACATGGAAAAGAATGAAACTGGACCACTACCTTACACCATACATAAAAATTAACTCAAAATGGATTGAAGACTTGAATGTAAGACCTGAAACTATAAAACTACTAGAAGAAAACACAGATGGCAAACTCCTTGATGTCAGTCTTGGTGATGATTTTTTTAATCTGACACCAAAAACAAAGGTAAGAAAAGTAAAGATAAACAAGTTAAATTAAATCAAACTTAAAAGCTTCTGTACAGGAAAGGAGACCAGCAACAAACTGAAAAGGCAGCTACTGAATGGGAGAAAACATTTGCAAATCATACATCTTGTAAGGGGTTAATACTGAAAATATATAAAGAACTCATACAGCTCAGGAGCAAAAAACAATCTGATTTAAAAATGGGCAGATATTTGCACCCCTATGTTCATAGCAGCACTATTTACAATAGCCAAGACATGGAAACAACCTAAATGTCCATCAACAGATGGATGGATAAAGAAGATGTGGTATATTATATATATATATATATATATATATATATATATATATATATATATATACTCACACACACACAATGGAATATTATTTAGCCATGAAAAAGAATGAAATAATGCCATTTGTAGGAAAATGGGTGGACCTAGAGATTATCATACTAAGCAAAGTCAGATAGAGAAAGATAAATACCATATTATATCACTTGTATGTGGAAATCTAAAATACAACACAAATGACCATATCTATGAAACAGAAAGAGACTCACAGACATAGAGAACAGACGTTGTTGCCATGGTCGGGGGTGGTGGGGTGAGGACTGGGAGCGTGTGGTCAGCAGATGCAAACTAGTGTATATGGGATGGATAAACTACAAAGTTCTACTGCAGAGCACAGGGAACTGTATTCAATATCCTGTGATAAACCATAATGCAAAAGAATATTAAATATATATATATATATATATATATATATATAACTGAGTCAGTTTGCTGTACAGCAGAAATTAACGGAACATTGTAAATCAACTACACTTCAATAATTTTTTTCTTTTTGGCTGCACCACGTGTCATGCAGAACTTCCCTGACCAGGGATTGAACTCATGCCCCGCCCCCCCCCGCCCCCAGTGGAAGCACAGAGTCTTAACCAATGGACCACCAGGGAAATCCAATTTTTTTTTTTTTAATAAAATGAGCAGAAGATCTGAATAGACGTTTTTCCAAAAAAGACATACAGATGACCAACAGGTACATGAAAAGATACTTAACATCACTAATCATCGGAGAAATGGAAATCAAAACCACATAAGATATCACCTTACACCTGTTAGAATGGTTTTTATCAAAAAGACAAGAAATAACAAATGTTGGCAAAGATGTGGAGAAAAGGGAACACTTGTGCACTGTTGGTGAAAATGTAAACTGGTGCAACCACTATGGGAAACAGTATGGAGGTTCCTCAAAAAATTAAAAATAAAACTATCATATGATCCAACAATTCCACTTCTGGGTATTTATTAGAAGAAAACGAAAATGCTAACTCAAAAAATGTAAGCAGGGCTTACCTGGTGGCGCAGTGGTTGAGAGTCCGCCTGCCGATGCAGGGGACACGGGTTTGTGCCCCGGTCCGGGAGGATCCCACATGCCGCGGAGCGGCTGGGCCCGTGAGCCATGGCCGCTGAGCCTGCGCATCCGGAGCCTGTGCTCCGCAACGGGAGAGGCCACAACAGTGAGGCCTGCGTACCGCAAAAAAAAAAAAAAAGTAAGCATTCCCAAGTTCTTTGCAGCATTATTTAGCTAAGATATGGAAATGACCTAAGTGTCCATTGATGGATTAATGGATAAAGAAAACTAAATATATATACATATATATGTGTGTATATATATATATATATATACACACATATATATGTGTGTGTATATATATATATATATATATATACACATACACACATACATACACACACATTGAAATATTGTTCAGCCATAAAAAATAAGGAAATTTTGCCATCTGCGACAACATGGGTGGACCTTGAAGGCATCATGCTAAGTGAAGTAAGTCATACAGGGAAAGACAAATTTCATATGATCTCATTTATATGTGAATTTTAAAAAACAGCAACAGAAACAAATGAACAAAATCATGCTCATAGATACAGAGAATAGATTGTTGGTTGCCAGAGGCAAGGAGTGGGATATAACTGAAAACAGTGAAGGGGGTCAAAATGTACAAACTTCCAGTTATAAAATAAATAAGTCACGGGGATGTAATGTTCAGCATGGTGACTATAGTTAGTAATACTGTATTGCATATTTGAAAGTTACTAAAGAGTAGATTTTTAAATCTTTCATTTTGAAATCAGCTATACTTAAATTAAAATTTTTTTTTTCATTTTGAAAAATACGCACAATGATATTCATTTTGCTGTTTGTTGTGTTAGCAAAAAATGCAACAACCTAAACGTCCATCAGTAGGGGACCAGGTAAATGAAGAATGATATATTTATATGACGGAATAACTATGTAGCAGTTAAAAAGGAATGAACTAGAACTCTGTATATCAACATGGATAGATCTAAAAGAAATAGTTGAAAAAAAAAAGCAACTAGCAACCACTGATATGTTTTCTGTCCTTATTGTTTATTTGTAACCCCAAAATCAATATTTACAGTCATTTTATGGCCAATCGACATGTGCTTGCACAGAGCATCAAAAAAATTGAGTTGCCTTATATGCAAATTCCTAGCTGAGGTCAAACAAGGTAACAGCCTTCTAATTTCAACTCTCATACTGTAAGCATGTCCTTTTTGGTCTATTTAGTGCCACATTTTTGTATTTTGTGCTTTTTGTTGGTGATTTCATTGCCTAAAATGGCTCCCAAGCATAGTGCTGAAGTGCTATCTAGTGTTCCAGAGTGCAAGAAAGGCTGTGATGTGTCATATGGAGGAAATACATGTTAGATGAGCTTTGTTAAGGCATAAGTTATAGTGCTGTTGGCCGTGAGTTTAATGTCAATGAATAAATAAAACGTGTTTATTAATAAGGTGTCTTTAAACAGAAACACACATAAAACAAGGTTATGTATTGATCAGTGGATGAAAATGTGACCAGAGGTTCACAGGAACCTAACCCTGTATGTCTTCTAGGAGCAATGATTCAGTATTTGCTAATTCACTGCTCAAGGCAACTAAGTAAAGCATAACTACCTTGATAACAAGAATTGCGTGTGTGTGCTTAATCAGAAACAACTTTCATAAAATATAATACTTACCCTTACTATTTGTGACACACTTCGATAATGTCTCTTATGTTTCTTTTATAATGCTGCTTATAATTGTTTCAACTCCCCGAATTGACAGGTCATGACGGGCATCTGGAAAACACTGCTCCAGCACACACAGAAAGAAAACCAATTTTTCTCAGCTTAGTAAATAAAGTCAACATTCAACATTTATGGGAAAGATAATGGGCCAAGTTAAGTGATCGCATTCTTAAGAAATTTGATGAGTGGTAGCAGTACCTTCTTAGGTTTTCATTATTTTTCATCTTTTCAGATGCCGTGTTAGTTTCTATTTTGCCATAGATTATGTAGCAGCTGTTGATTGTAAGAACCATTTAATTCATGGACACCATTTCTTTCTGAGATTTGAGGGAGTTCATAATTTTCTGTTGATGAAGCAGTAAAGAAAAGGTTGGTTTGTGATCAAGTTTGAGGCATAGGGCCAGAAACTTGTAACCAAGTTTGTTTATTGATTACACTGTAATCAGATGTTTAACTATGTCTTTTAAGTCTTTTGTCATTTATAGTTATTCTTGTACTCTATGCTCTTACAAAAAGCACTTCGTCATCAGGGAGATTCATAGAAAGGCTGTGGAAGCAGTTACAACCAGTTCCACATCAAGATGATGACCATGCAAGGATTCCACCCATAACAACTCAAAACAAGAAGCTGTCCTGCCCTTGGGGCCCCTAGGTCAGGCATCCAGAGATTTTTACTCCCTGACAGGCAGAGTCGATGTCCCTACTCAGCCTTGAAGTAGTTACAGAAGACGGACTATTGCCCTTTTGCTTCCCATAAGAATATGGGAGTAAAATCTCTGAGAGGGGAATGAAACGGGGGGAAAGGAGGCAGGGCATAGCCTTTGAAAGAATGACATAGCCCATGGACATGACATAAACTGATTGGAACCAAATGGGTCCAAGATGGCGGACAAGTCGACTTCCACTAGACCTTGAGGAGCCTCAGTATACCTCACTGTAACACATCAGCAAGCCAAATGTCACACCCACAGGCGCCATGACAGTTCCAAGGCCGACCAGAAGGATCAAAAAGTGGGCGGTGGCCCAATTCCTGGAAATCCCCCCCCTTCCCGAAAGTAGCTGGAATACTCCTCCCACTCACTAGCCTATGAAATTACCCACCCCTATAAAAACTGACAACCCCATACCCTGGTACCTTTCTCACCTTCTGAGATGGCCCACACTCTGTCTGTGTTTCTCTCTAAATAAATCCACTTCTTATCTATCAAAAAAAAGAAAAAAGAAAAAGTGGGTAGCTATTCCTTGCATGCTAAACAGGACTAACTTTTATACTTTTCAGCAAATATTTGGTTGGAATAGTTCTGTGTGGGCTATTGGTTTGAAGGGGCAATGGTAAGATTGCCCAGGCTTTGTTCTGCTAGGTTATTGGTACAATGGGGAGTTCAGTTCAAATTAGTCTGTTCTGCCAAAGTAAAGGAAATATTTCCATCATGACTATCAATCAGTTGTTAATAACAGCAGTGTTAGGAGAGGTTAGACAGTGCTGCTACAATAAATTAGCCCCAAATGTGGGGGCTTAGTACAATAGAGGCTTACTGCTGCTTGTGTCACCATTCAAAGTAGCTCTCCTGTAGACAATGACCCAGGAGCCCGGGCTGTTTCCATCCTATTTTTCTATCATCCTGCAGCTTCAATCTCACCCTGGCATTACCTATCTGAAGTTGGGGGAGGAAAGAAAAAGAGAGTGAAAGACTATGCTGGGTATTTTAGGAATCAGGCCTGGAAATGGTTCTTTGCTTTTGTCCACATTCCATTGGCCAGGACCCAGTCACAGGGCCAAACCAACTCCAAGGGAAGCTGGGAAATGTGGAGGAACACGTGGATATGAAAGAGCACGAATAATCTCTGCACAGACAGAGAAGATTCTCCAGCCTTGATGCTGGAGAACCCCACATTTCTGCAGGGGACCTGTATCCTGGTTGATTAGATATGGCTGAGAACACTTCTAGGTAGCTTGGAAGCACTGTTTAACTCTCTATCCATGGTTGTTATGAATAAATATAATATTAATAAATATTATATGTATATTATAGTTACTGTCTTTAGCAGAATATTTGAGGTCCTCCCTAAGACAATTTTGAAGACGGGACTAACAAGGAAGCAAGCCCACAGTGTGGATTACTCCTGCGTACATCTCATAAGACCTCGGACTAACATTTTTCGTAACGTGGCTCCTAGGTCACTTGACTCTGAATCACCTCGATTCACACTGTTAAATCTAAATTTGTTTAAAATACAGATCTCAAGGATCTCAAAATCTAACTAAGCAGAGCTCAGAAATCTGCATTTTAAGATGTTTCTTAGTTTATTCCTGTGTGCACTGGTATTTGAGAACCACGGCCAACAGGAAAACTGAACTATCTTCCACCTGAAGGTTGAGTCTGCCTGTGACAGAAAAGTAAGCTCAGATCTAAGAGCCAATTTCAATCTTCTTTTCTAAATGAGAAGAGCCAAGCATAGCAGATTCTAGGATTTAAATTGTCATCGTGCTGGCTGAAACAGATGATGACAGAGCCCAGATAATCAAGGCCAGAAAAGGAAGGAAGCAGGACAGGCTTAACTTGGACACCAAAACGCCTCAAAACTTGATTTTTGATGTGTGTGTGTGTGTGTCTGTGTATAAATATCATCTGTACACCTTCCTTTCCCATTACGTTTTCTAATGCAACCCTTCCCTGCCCTTTAAGTGCTTACTGAGCAAAAGCCACCTACCTACCTAGCCTTTTGGCTAATATGAAGTGATGTAATAATATCCTCATCATAGGACTGCTCTGAGGATTCAACAAGATATGTGTGTGACGTGTTTAACTCAGTCCCTGACACCCAGGAGGCTAAATCAGTTCCAGCAGTTATCAAAATCTAACACAACCACTGACAGACCTATGGCATTTCTGGGCTCTCAGAGTAATCCCACATGGGCCAGGAAACTGAAGGCCCTGATATATCATTACCCAAGGAAGGGTTGTAAATGGGTGATATAGGTGTCCCCAGTAGGTACATCATGGCATCCACCAGGAAATGAGCTGGGAATGCCAGGTCACCCAAGCACACCCTGCCCTATGGAGGAGTGCCAGGGTAAATGATACGTAGGCCAACTCCACCACTACTACCACCCAACACACCCACTCAGAGAAGTTTTTAAGCCAAATGTAAATCAGTGGATAACTTGCCTACATTTGCCTCTTATAGACATAGCCTTGGAGTCTCCTCAAACAACAAACCACCTATCAGTTCAGAAAATGACAGGGTTCAATTTGAATGGGTCTATCTGCTCCCTCACAGGGACGTAGCCAGGAAGAAAGAGAGAGAGAGAGAGAAAGAGAGAGAGAGAGTGAGAGAGAAAGAGAGAGAGAGAGAAGTGCGGGATGTGGGTGGTAAAATGCCTAAAGCCACAGGAAGAATTATGCTATGATGTTTTGCACGAGCTATTATAAATTTAAATGAGCAAAGACTAACTAAGACAACTTCCCCTTTAATTTTGGCTCGTAAGATCTGAGCAAAGCTAAAAAGAGGACTGTTGGTTAGCATGGAAAAGAAAGATTCTTCCACAATATTAATGGAATGGTCACAGGAAAGGGAAAATAACATGTTGTGTTTTTCAAACTGTAGGTCGCAACCCCCATTAATGGATCATAAAATCAATTTTAGTGTATTTTTCATGAAAGAATAGAACAGAGCATCATACCTAGTAAGGGTATTTGAAAAAAAAAAAAACGATTCAGTTTGTATGTGTATTTGGGTTACAACGTAATATTTATTTTTTATAATGGATTCTAGTAGGGAAAGTTTTAAAATGTGTAGCAGAACACTGACTGCTCTAGATTCACAAGGAGTTTGAATCCAGGCCCCATCCCTTGCTAATTTTATGACTTATGACAAGCTTCAATTTCCTCAGTTGTAAAATGGAAATAATACCTACAAGAATTCTTGGGAAGTGAAACGGGATCGTGTATATAAACTTCTTTAGCACAGTGTCTGCCACAAAATAATCACCTAACAAAGGTCAGTTTCCTTCTTCTTTCCACTTAAGGTATTACGTGTACAAACAGATTCTGGCATCACAGCAACAGTCATTTAATTTCCCTTGGCCTCCGTTTCTTCATTCTGCAGTAAAGGAGCTGAACTAGACGAGCTAGTGCCTTGCCTGCTCTACAACTGTCTGATTTAATGAAAATGGTCATTCTGTTATCACATTAGAGAGATTCTCTTTGAAAGTATTGCAAATCCCAAGTGACAAATAGATTTCTTAAAGTCATCTTTTTGTTTTGAGGTAACTGTCGATTCATATGCAGTTGTAAGAAATAAAACAGAGATCTCGTGTGTCTGCGACAGTAAGAAATAATACATGGACTCTGTCCCCGATTTCTGGCACACAGCTTCTAACGCCTTTGGATCTTCCCAGTGAGTTGTGTGTGTTCTGTACGCTAATGAGATGGCTGGGGGCTGGGGGCTCCTGGATAGCTTCAGATCGATGCTGGTCACAAGAAAGACCAAGGCATGATCAGAGCGCTGCAAATCTCAAGAGACGAGAGACAGGCTGAAGATTGAGCTAATCACCAATGGCTAATGACTTAATCATTCCTACATGATGGAAACTCCATAAATACCAGTAAATCACAGGGTTCACAGAAGTTAGTGAAAAATCGAGGTACTGGGAGGGTGGTACACCCGGCAAGGTCATGGAAGCTCCCTTCACCCCGTTCCCGTACCTTGCCTTATGCATTTCTTCTATTTGGCTGCATCTGAGTCCTATCCTTTATAATAAACCAGTAAGTATGGTGCCTAAGTTCTGTGAGCAGTTCTAACAAATAATCGAACCTGAGGAGAGGGTCGTGGGAACCCCTGACTTATAGTTGTTCAGCCAGAACTTATGGGAGTCCTGGGACTTGTGATTGGTTTCTGTAGTGGGTTGAACTTATGAAACTGAGCCCTTCATTTGTGGGATCTGATGCTAACCTCAGGTAAGAGTGTCAGAATTGAATTGAATTGCATGACATCCAGCTGGCGTAGGAGAATTGGTTGGTGTAGGGAAACACCTTGTTTTGTCAGTAAAAATAGCTCTGGAGTACCCTTCACTCTGTTTTCCCCAGCGGTAATATCCCACAAAACTGTAATACAATATCTCAACCAGGATGTGGACTTTGATACAATAGCTGATCTTATTCAGATTTAGGTTTCTTTGTAGGTGCCAACTGGGGTTGATTAGTATTGGCTAGAGTACAAGCTTGGAGGCTGCTTTGAGTCCTGATTTAGCGGAAGCACATGTTTCTCACAATTAGCAATGTCCCCCCAGGATTGAGAGAGTGGTGACATGATTGCTACAGATGTGCTGACTTCTGCAATAAGTGAACAAGATGTTGAAATTAAACATTTCGAGCTGGTGCTTGGTGAAGTAAAGTATCTCTGTTTTTATATATTATAATGTTTTAACACACCAAGATCCAAAGGAAGAGTATAAAGTTATCTCTTCATCCTGAAATTATATGAGTAGTTCCAATGTATTTTTAGGTGGAATAACCTACTCACAGCAGAGAGAGCAAACCTTCAGAAAATCAACCGTAAAGTTTTCCTTTGGGCCTCTTTGCATAATTGAACTATTTTCATGTTAGTGGCTGAATTACTGCTTTATGTTAAAGGACAAAGGCAACCTTAAATGGGAACATGTATTTGTTCCATTTTTGTCTACAAATTCTGCACGAAATCATGAGATTCGTCAGCTCAACTGAAAGATGAATGAAAGAATTTGGACAGAACAACAAATTTAAATAAATGTTTTTCTCAAAAGTCTTTTTAAAGTAGGTTTAACTATGAGGTAAGAGGTCATAGGAACCGTTGCTTTCAGGAAATGTAAATCTGATATTCGGCTTTCTCACATCAAATAGACTGCAGAGCTGCTTTTGAATGTCTGACATTCACTGTTACAAACGGCAGTTTTATATAGTGAAAATGGAGCACACCTTTGGTTATTTTTGTCTCAGCAAAATGCTATCTTAAGTTAAAAGAACTATCCACATAAAGCAGCGCCTGGCATATAATAAGTATGAGACAAATGGTAGCTTCTATGACAATGATGACGATGATACCACATTCTTAGCTTTGTAAATTTTAGTAAACCATTTAACTTTTCTGAACCTCAGTCATCTCATTCTCAGAGGTGAGGTGGAGTGAATAATAACAATGCCTTTTATGCCTACTTCACAG